TTGTCGTACAGGGAGGGTGTCTTGAGGATGATGCAGTGCCCCCCCCCCCAACCCCCACCCCCAGAAGATTTCCTCTCTTCACTTTGCAGATCCGCTCTCCATCCCTCCCACTCTGAGGCAGTGTGTCTGGCAAGAATGCCAATTCTGTTTTACTTTCCTCTGCCCCCTCCATTCTGCACATGCTCAGCTCAGGCTGTCAGCAGAGAAGCTGAATTCAGCAGAGCTGGTGGGAGACAGAGAGCGAGACAGGGAGAGGAAGTGCCAAAGGACAAGGGGAGATAGCAGCAGCAATTTTTACATGAAGCTCCCCTTGTCCCTGTTATTGCCTCCGCCAAGCCTGCCCAATCACCTCGTCCTCATTTATTCAATATGCCCTGGAACGGACTCAGTAATGAGTGGGCTGGCAGAGCGGTGCCCATCGGACTAGCTTTGCTGCACTAATGAAAGGGTTCAGGCTTGTCTGGTAAGCAGAGAAAGTGCCAATCTGTCATACCTATCGCCCTGTAGCACCTTCTCCCCTCCATCCCATCCCTAGCATTATTCCCCTGATTTTGGATATGGGCTGAAGGGGAGCAGTACCTTCTGGTTCCTCGTTTTCTGCAGCACTGACTGCGAGAGTTCACTGCCAGACGCTACGCATGGACTGAAGAGACGCTCTGCGACCTGCGCTGGGGATGTACGCAGCATGGCTTGCAGGTTCACTCCTCTCTTCACGTTTCATTTATAGTCGTTTTTTTTTTTTTTTTGTCTTAGTGCAGATGAGTGCTTGTACCTTTGCGGGGAGGGTGTCTGACCTCCCCTCTTCCCCCTTGAAATGTTCCTTGCATCCCTGTGTATGGACTTAATGTTAATTGTCTGCTGCACTTATTGCTCTGTCTTCCTGAAGTAGTGAACTTAATACATTCAGAAGGGGGGGTGAAGTGGCATTGGAAGGGTTATCTGTCTATAGACTAGACTGTGTATCGACGCTAGTGCAGTAGCGCTGTCTAACCTTTTCTTCCGTTCCTCTGTCTATTTAAGTCCTGTGCTGGAGTGTTTGTGTTAGATTGTTTCCCGTCACTTGTCTGTCTAAACTGTGTGCAGCCCTTTCTGCTTTTAGCCATTTTTATTCATAACGATTTCTTAGATTTTAATTTAGCTTGAATTTGTAAACTGCTTTAGAAATGAGATTAAAAGTAATGTATATAAAAACAATTTTCAAAAAATACGACCCCCCCCCAACTTTTCAAGAGAAAACTGTCTAACGAGTGATTCTTACAGTGGCCACTTTTAGCAATGCAATTCCTATATATTGGATGATTTAGGAAAATACCTTCTCCGGAACGTGTTTTAGTACGGTCATAACAGTCATACGATAATTTCTTACTATATACTATAACCAGGAAAAATAATTATACAACTCAACTGATATAGAGATTTTTGACCAAGGTCATTGTAATGTAGAGTTTATTTTTCTGCTCATCTGAACTGACTTTTTAGTGAATAAGGCCTAAAATCAGCGATGGCTAAAGTTGACACGCTTAATGTTTGTAAATATAAGCACCATGGGTAATGTAGTTTGTAAACATTTGGAGTTCCAAGAAGCGCAATATCTGCTAAGATTTGTTTTAATTGTATTATTTGTTCAATGCTTGAAGGGTATTTGTCATTTACAGAAGTTATGAGAGATTTTCTGGCACAATTGGTTTTGTCCTGATTTGGTGGGGTTGTTGGATAAAGCTGATTTGGTGGGGGTGGGGGTGTTGGATGTGGCTGATTTGGGGGGGTGTTGGAGGAGGCTGATTGGGGGGTGTTGGAGGAGGCTGATTTAGGGGCGGAGTTTTTTGGATAAGGGGGGTTGGATAAGGCTGATTTTTTGGGGGGGGGGGGGGTGTTGGATAAAGCAGAGTCGGGAGGTCTTATCAGTCTTCAATAATACTTTTTTTTTTTTTTTAAACTCTGTGGTTGATAACAATTAATTGTGAATCTTTTACAGTTCTTATTACTTATAAAGTTCCAACCTATGCTACAGAGCTGTATATACATAAACCATACAGAAATAACCAGACATCTATTAATGTAATATCTGAAATTTATAGCACTTTCAAAAAAGTGATTGGCATGATGGTTCATGAGCTTAC